TTTGAAGACGATAAAAACTATGTGTAATTTTGATTTTGATAGCCTTGGCAACATTGCCCTGACAAATAATGAAAAAATAAAATATATAAACGAATTCCTTAATATAAGCCCTTTTATGAAACTACCTTGGATTTATTTGGAATATATTATTCCACCATTGGTTGAATAAATAAACTTTTATTTAATATTTTAAATGGTTTTTCTCTTATTTAGGCATCTTATGCAGATGGAAAACATACAAACACACATATAGGAATAATTTTATTTATACTCTTTCTCATCTTTCATTGATAGGCTTTTTGCAATGAAATTCGTTAAAAATGTTGACCGCTGCATTCTTAATTTTTAAATATGACGTCCTATATTAGTAGTCTATTAGACCTCAGAATAAAAAAAGTTAAAATTTCTGATTCTTTATAATGCATTACAAATTTTCTTTTTATTTAGGTTAACATGTGCAATTTATAAATTACCACACAACATTTTGTTCAATTTAAAAAAATATATGAAAAATATGTGCGCACTTTATCAAGTGGCATAAGGGGAATAAATTATATAAAAATATTTATTTATTTTATTCATCGTTATTATTTAAGAAAATATCCTTGAGGAGAGAGAGAATAGACGGGGATAGGCTCATGAGTATGGAGACATCAGATGAAGCTGAGAAAGAGATGATATAAATATAATCCAAAGTGATTTATCCGATATTTTATATACAATTAATTCCAACTTATTAGATTGTTGGGAAGAAAATCAATATCGATTCATAATTCTGGACAAAATATATTTTTTAAATGGACTTTGACATCTAAGAATGTTTCTGGGGACACAAAAACTCATTTAATATGTAAATTGATTTATATTATGAGCAATAAATTTGGTATTGTTTAAAATATTAGGTAGTTTATTGTAAAATATAATAAAAATTATTTGATGATATAATTAAAATATTGTTATTATAACAAATTTTATTCTAAATAAATTTTATGCCAAATAAAACTTTTATAGTTTAACAAAAAAAACATATTTCGATAACCGGACCGTTCGAATCAAACTGGACCAATGGTCCTACGGCCTGGTCCCACCCAATTAATGATCCACTCAAATTTTAGAAAAGGACCGAACGGGACTTGACCATTGAAAACACTACTTTAAACGTACATAATGATGAGTATACTATTAGCAAGTGTATCGCTAGCTAGGTATTTTGGTTTACCCGCTTGTTCAAAATTGTTGAAAAAGGGATTAGTACTTTTTTTTCAAAAAAATTAGCACTCAATTTTAAAATAATTAGTGCCCATTAAATAGCAATCTTACTTTTAAATATATATTATATTCCAGCATCATTTTATTATTATAATTCTTCCTTTTGCCGTAGGTAAAAACAAAATGGTGAAAAATCAAATGATATTACATCAGCGTCTACATGACAGGATTTTCACTGGATGCAAACCCCCTTCAAAAACCTTTGCCTACCCCCCTAAAAAAAACGCGCCTTCGGCGGCGGTGTTTTTTCTCATTATTTTCACCTATTTATTTATTGATACTCTTTTAAAAGAATTTATAAAGGATACCTTAAATTAATCTATTTCTACTAACAACTATCTATATTTTGTGAATATAAAGAATTTATTTTTTAGATAATAAATTCAATTAAAACCTCCATTATTTACAATGAATTAATTATTATGGCATTATGAGCTTGCTAAAATATCTAAACCTTTTAAATTACATTTAAAAGGATAGTTTATTTGGAAAACAATGTGTATGATTGTTTGCAATATAAAGATTTGGTCGATGAATTGTATTATAATAATACTATAATAAAAGTATAATTTTTACAGCAATAAATTTTGTCCTATTTCATCTCAAAATTTAATAGATAACCCCCCAAAAAATTTATCCTACCACCATTAAAGCAGCTTACCCCCTACCCCCTAAAAAAAATAGGATGCAAACTGTTCCTACCCCCTCCCCCCCCTGCTCATGTAGACGCTGATTACATTATATGAAAAAAGCTATAAAATCCATATACAATAATTTTTTAATCTATTAGAAAATCTTACCAGTGGCCCCTACACTTTCTGAGCGTTGGAAGCAGAATGGCCACTGTCTCTAAAAAAAATACTACCCCCCCACCTTCCTAAAAAATTTCCTTTTCCTTAACATATAAACATTGGCCCATGATTGACTTTTGTATATTTTGATTACATTTCCTTACTGAACCACCCATTTAGTTAAACATGTTAGGGAGATCGAGGTATTTGGCACATTTGTTCAAATCTGAATAAGAATAAAATATATTCTGTATCCTCGAAGTATACTATTTATATTTAATTTTTTTAAAATATTACTTCAAATTTTTTTAATAAAATTTACTTTGAACCATCGTACTTCATCAAACGGTAGGTACAACGCATGTTCTGGTTCATCAATGTAAATGAGGGCTACATAAAAAATATTTTTTATCAGATATTGTTAATAGTCTAAAATCATATTAAATTAATTTATTGATAAAGCAATAGTAAGTAAATTTAATTTAAGTATATTCTTACAAATTTTTGGGAATTTTTGTAAAAAAAATTACTCGAATAAACATTTAGTAAATATAATAAAGCTTAATATATTAAATAGATAAATAATTATTTACATTTATTTTGTTTTTATGTAACTAAATTCCTCCGTTAGCCTTGACAATTTTATAGTAATTAATTAAAATCTAACTTTACCTAAGGCCAAAGACCTCTACCCTTTGAGCTAAGGAGAATACTCTGATGAAAAAAATATTTCCCTCAAAAAATGCAATTAATTTGTTTTTGACTCCATCCTAGATTATAAATTCAAAAATAATATTAATTTTTACTGCACCAATCATAAACACATATAATAACTATAAAAATGTAAAAAAAATATTATAAATTTTAAAAAATAGTTATATTTACAGATATTCTTGATATCATATTTAATAAAAAAAATTTCAACCATTCTCTAAAAAGGTGAGGTTTAATTTAAAAATTCATGGATTTATCATTATCGTTCATTAAAGTGTATTATTATCAGATCGAGTGTAGTATAAAACACGATGGTTTTAAAGTTTAAATAAAATATACTTAATAATGAAAGTATATATAAACCCTTCCTTTTTGGATTAAAATGCTAGAATCCTTGAACTTTCAAAATCAAAAGGTAAATTTATCCCCTTCATATATTTAAAAAAGTTTCTTTATCTAATAAATTTAAAAAATGATTTGGCAATAACTTAAATTATATTGTTCAATTAAATCAGAGAATCTTTTGCCAATTGAATTTGATTCCTTGCAAACCATATATCCTTTGATATTTATTTTCAATTCTTCACAAGCCAAACTTGTTAATAATATTTTATCCAAAATACAATGTGATAAAAAATAATTCTATCCTAAAAATTATATTAATGGGCCTGACTGAAATGACGGAATGCTCAGAATCTTTTATTTGTCAAAGCTGCCCTTAGAGCATCATTAAGTAGGAATTTTTTTAAATATTATATAATGATAAGCAGCTTATATAATTATATGAAATAAACATTGTAAATATAAACAAATAAGATATAATTACATTGTGGTATTCATGTTCGTAAAAATTGTTGCGGCTTTGTCAGTATCCTACTCTGACATGCTTTGAGCAATGCATAGCTTTTTACCTTAATGAAATACATATAAATTTCGTCTAAAATTCCTTAAACATTTCTTAGTTCCCTTACAGATTGACATAATTGAACAATGATTAAATATAATCAACGAAAATAGCACTAAATAAAGCCGACTTTAAGGCAAGACTGTACTGTTAGTTCTTCCCTTGATATTTGAAGCTTTGAAGGATAGATTCATGTAATTAAGTTTGCATAATATATTATTTTAATATCAACACCAGTCATGTTATCCGCAAAACATATATAAATAAGTCATTGACTGGCTTTGGTATTTCACTTTCGATATACTATCAACGCTATCTAATTTAGAAACATTATATGTACCATCGATTATAATTGGGAAGCATCTATTAGATTCAATTTCTTTTTGAATTTTATAATATTACACGATACAAGATTAATAGAGTTTGGCCTTTTTGTCATCCCTATAGTTTGAGAACACACCTATACACTTATATATAAATTTTATAAGCCTCTTGGTTCCCCCACAAGGCTTGATTATGAGAAGAAATCAAATAACCGAGACATCTTATTATTATTAATGAGCTAGTATTATTAACACATTTTTTCGGGAGTATTATATATTATAATACTGAATTTTTGTTATAAGTCTTCCATAATCAGCCATCAGATGTGTCTGTAAGATTCATGCACGCATAATATCGCGCCATATTCTCCAAAATAGTTAAGCCTTCACAATCAATGAGATAATTTTAAAATAAATTTTTTAAAATGTTATTAAGCAATTTTACAAAAAAATTTAAAAATAAAAGTACCCCCATCATTATGAGGATACAATATTTTTTTATGAATCAATTGCATCAATAATTTTTTACCCCCATGCAAATTTTAAAAATTCTTCGTAACCCCCTCTCCAACCCTGTTGTATGAACCACTGAGCCCAAATGTAAATTATATGGAATTTATTTAATATTAATTTTATTTAAGTCTAGTCAGTTAGAATTAGAAAACAAGACTGAATTAAGTGTAAACACAAAAACGCTGTATTATAGGTCCTCACATTAAATATTATTAGCCAAACGCGATGCCGGGCTACAGATGTTGGAACATAGCCGTTTTATGGAACCCGCAATAAAATCCAGGATATGTAACATCATTTTAATATAATAAATTTTCATCGTGGTCTTGTTTTTAAATGATAATTATTTTTTTGTCAACAGATGGTAGAAACAACCGTAACACAATTATTAATAGCAATAAAAAAAATTTACTAAAATTTAACATTCAAAATATTTGACTTTTACATGTCGTTTATATGTAGCATTATTCTGACAGATATTGTATCGACAATCTTCTTTCATTGTAAATTTTTAAAAATCATCAATCGTGAATTCTAACAAAGATAAAATAAATTTACTTAATTCCTGGCTAAATAAAACATTCAAAGTCAAGGTTACAGATGGGCGTATCTTGATTGGAAATTTTATTTGCACTGATCGGGATTCAAATATAATTCTTAATGCATGCCGAGAGTATCTTACTGAATCAACTTCTGATAATATTAATGAGCCAAGGTCTATAGGACTTGTAATGATACCAGGAAAACATATTAAATCTATTAAATTATTAAACTCTTACCACATATGAGCACTATCATAAAAGAAGAATTTATAGAAACCAAAGACACCTATTTGCCCATATCTCCAAAATTATTGAATATTAAAGAAGAACTATCTCATGGTTTATATATTAATATTTTTATTATTTTGATATAAAATATATTTTATTACAGAGAATAAAGTTATCCAAGATTCTGGGATTGGTGAAGATCTTCAGAACACTTCAACACCTAAAAATGATAGCTTAGATACTTTAGATAAAGGTTTAAAAAGGAAAAACGAAATTGAAGAAGAAGAAAGGCACAAAATGCAGGTACTAATTATAATCTCACTTTTTATTTTCAAAGTTATTTTTGATCAAAATGCCTTTTAAGGTGTAATTATAGAGATGCACCAATACTCATCAATATTTCATCAATATTGGGCAAATTTTGTTGGTTAAAAATTTCATATATTAATTTTAATTAATTACAAATAGAAAATAATGAAATGTTTTAAATACTTATTTATTAGAGATTAGGCAAATTATCAGTTAATTTGATAAGATATAATCTTAAAATCATATAATATTCTTGACTTTTCTATATATTAGTTATTAATAAACTTCTATAATAATACTTGCTAATAATTTAGGGAAAAATAATATAATTCTACAATTATAATAACATCTAATAGAAATTGGGTCCTGACCACTTTTAATTACTGATTTATAATAATTTCTTATTAATTAATATATTCAAAAGAGTTTATTTTAGTTTATATAGAATATGAACTATAGTATTTATATTAGTTTAACATCATTCCTATTTTTGACTCAATGTAAGTCTATTTAATATAAAACATATAAATAAAAGTATAAAAATTATTTAATGCAATGTTAGTTAACTTATTTAAACTGAAGATTTTTAGTAAGATTTTTTATTATTTAAAAAAAACAGATTTAGAGAATATTCATTACAAATGCCATTATTTAGTCATATTTTTTATTTTGCATATATGGATAATGGTAAATGCTAAACATATTATTTTAATAATAAATAATTTTTAATGACTTAAATGAATATAATTCTAAATTTAAAAAAAAACTATATGATTATAAATAAAAAATTATACTGATCATTAAAATATTGCTGACCATTTTATTTATTGTCATAATTCTATGGTCCAAGTTTTTTTAGAAAGATAAAAAACAACCATATTTAATGTAAAATTGTTTCTACTAAGCTTTTTATTTATTCTATTTATATAATAAAAGATTCTGATCTATTCATCATCATATAGTATATTAGTTTAAATGGTTTGGGAAAAGTCAAATCCCATGCGATTTTATTTTAAATTAGATATTATAAAATATAAATCTATTTGTAAACTGGAAGATTATGGTAAAGTTTTAACTGGGGATCATGCAGCAAATCTCGAGCGACATATAGAAAGATTCCACCATAGGGAATTCAAATTATTTAAAAAAAAAAGAAAGAAAATTTGACTATTAAAAAAAACTCAAATAACGACAATTGCAAATCATTATAATACAATTCAAAATGCTTTCAAGTCCAGAACTACTACAATACAAATTAATATCAATAAAGAAACCATAATTCGCTCCTGCACCGAGTTAATAACAGTTCATGGAAGACCAATAAAATCAATTGACGGTAAAGCATTTCTAAATATTATAGACCCAATAATTATGGATTGAGTGGAAATTTAACTATCATTTCGGAAAATATACTCAATAATATTTTAAAAAATAACGCTCAATTTTTCACAAAATATAAAAAAGGAAATATACCAAAAACTTATTTCGTTAAAATTATATATAGTAACTAGATATGATAGGTCCATATTGGGGATCACATTCAATTTATTAATAACCAAAAAATAAAATTAAGAACTATGCATGAAAGGGATAAATGAACGACACACATCAGAATATTTCTATTCTAGATGTTCTAAAAGAATATGAAATGAGAATTGAGCAGATTTTCACGATCATCGATAATGCAACAAATATGATTAAATTAAGCTATTTACATCACGGAAGAAGATGATGTAGATGATAGCCCTAACTATTTAAATAATAACAATGATATAATTGATGATGAAAGAACCTTTTACTGTTGAAAATATTAATCTTGAATCTAATGCAAGATCCATATTAATGGGCATTACATGGCCTTACATACATATAATGATTATTGCATTAAAAATTCAAATGAAATTGTCGTTATAAATAAAGCAAGAAACATGCAAAAAAATCAGACAACAGTGGTTACTCTCTCCAAATTAAATTGGAAAAACCACTAATAGATTGTTGCACAAGATGGAATCTATTTGTTGGAGAGATTACTAGAGTAAAAACTTCTATCAAGAAATATCGCTCCAAAGCAATGATCGCGAAAAATGTTTATCAGAGAATGAATGGAAAATAATTAGCGATATATTAAAAACTTTATATCCAGTTTATATTTTGACAAAATATATACAAAGTGAGCAATTGACAATGGGCGATTTTTATGCCGCCTGGATCAAATGCATCATGCAAACGAGCAAAGTAGAAACTCCATTTGCCATATTTTTAGTTTCTACTATAAAATTACGAGAAATAAATTTGAAAAATGACGTTTTTTGCTCAGCTATATATCTCGACCCAAGATATAAGGTATTTTTAACATTTGAACAAAAAGAGATCTCCAGAAAACATCTTTCTAATTTAAATAATCAGAATAGAAATTTTAGATACTATGCCTTCGAATTTACATTCGAAAGATAATTTAGATGATGATTTTGAAGATTTATTAAAATCGCATTTAATAAGAATAATTCTCAGGGCATAGAAAATTATAAAATATATAATTCGGTCATTTGATAATATAGAGATTAGAAAAAGATACTAATCTTTTGAATTATTGGGAAAATGTTAAGAATAGTATGCCAGAACTTTATAAGTTAGCTATAACTGTGCTAGCAGTTCCATCTACACAGGTATCCGTAGGAAAAGCATTTTCTAGCCTTAATTTTATACTCTCTGCCCAGAGAACTAAATTAAATCCTGAAATATTAGAAAATATTCTAGTTATCCGTTCTAAATTCTCTTTTTAAACATAAATAGTATAAATTTTATTATATTTATGCGTTCATTGAAAAATTCGTATTATTATTTTATCCTAAATTTTCACATTAATTTTTTTTTGAGGCCCGCCTCAAATCTTTTAATTTTAAACCCCATCCTGTTTTAAAATTTTTTTAAACCGAACCCGATTTCGATCAAATTACAAACTTGTAAATTTCATGATTTCTTTTCCATATGTAAAAAATAAATCGTCCTGATAATATAAAAAATGTTATAATCCTAAATTTGGCAGGATTCATATATTGGGGTTCTTAGCTGTAATACAAATTATATTTTAAAAAAATTAATTTTTTAAGCTCCTAATCTCAAACTTTACTGAGGATCAACTTAACAGGTACGAAATGTACAGAAGATCGGTCTTTCCCAAATCCTCGATTCGCAAAATTATGCAATCCGTCATAGGCTATCCAGTATCCCAAAACGTGGTTATAGCAATGGCAGGCATAGCTAAGGTTTTCGCGGGAGAAATTATCGAAAGAGCTCTTGATGTCAAGGACCGAGAAATTTGGCTCAAAAATAGCCCGGGAAAGGCTGAAGGAAATGGAGAGTACAATACTTCTTTAGACGCGGCTAATTCTCAATCAGTTATGACTAATAGAATTGAACCAACAACGTCAGATAGTAGTAACGGACCCACTCCGATGGAATTTGATATTCTTATGAAAGACCCGGGTAATAAATTCGTCAATTCTGTTGCAGAGAAACAAGAACCATTAAAACCTCATCACATTAGGACGGCTTATATGGAGTTATCTCGGCTGGATAACGAGACCTGCAATAGTTCAGTAACCAGCGATTCTCAGATGGAGAGAGCTATCAATAACAATAATAATTTGAGCTATAAGTTTAAGAAGAATATTTTTTTCAGGTGAACCATATTTTGGGGTGTATTGTTTTTAAATGGGGTTTTATAGACATGAAATTTTTTTTAAAATAAATAATTATTTTTGAATCTATTTTTCATCAAAATAATTATTTTTTGAATAAAAATTGACACTTTTTTTCATTCTTAATTTTATTTCTTTAAATAATTTGCTCCTTGCGATTTACCTGCTAATACAAGAGGATGGAATATTTTGTATAAAACCTTATGCAATTTTGATTTAATTTGTTTCACAAATCGAACACACGATTTAACTCAATTTCTATTTATTGTTACATATTTATTGATATACATTTACATATTTTAAACTACGATATCTGTATAAATTGATAATAAAGGAAAATATTTCATGTGAATATAATATATAATGTGTATAATCTATAAAATAAAGTTTCAGCTTTGATCAGAAAGAGGAAAATTAATTTATAAAACTTTCACGGTAATTCATATATATATTTTTTTTAAATATAGAATTTAAAAACAAATTTACAAAAAAATTGTACGACAATGATATTTTTTTTAAAAAAAATAGATAATATATTAATTGTTTATCATAATATTTCTTTTTTTAACATTGATATTTATTTGTCATTCAAATATAACTAATCACATTAGTAATTGCACGTAAATTTTTAAAAAAAAAATCGTAATAACATTAAAGATCAGGTTATTTTTTTCTTGGGTTAAAAATGAATGATTTTTGTGAGTTCTCCTTTCAAAAGCTTTGCATCGATTCTCAAAATTTTAGTCATCAGATCTACGTTCTCTTCACGAGGGATCTCCTTGCTCACGGTAACCGGCCTATAAACCCTGTGCCTATTGAAAGCGGCATACATACTCCTATCATCTTCGTTAATCAAATTCAGGGAAGAAAGATTGAAAATAAGGTAGGAAGAAGATGCGGGATCGCTCCTTTTAGGGTCCGCGTAATAATAATAAAGAGAGAGGGAGCGATTATCGAAACCATCGTTGTAGTTATTTCCGCTAACGGGGTTTTGAAGGTCTTGTCTGGCATACACTATCCTAGCCAACTGGAACCCCTCCGCAAGACCTGATTTCGATGAAGTTTTATCTTTATCCGTATCATTTGTCTTTACCAACTTTGTATCATTTTTAGTGAGTAAGAGGATGTTGGATAAATTGAGTTGTTTAGACGGAATATTATTGAGTGAGTCAAAAGGCACGGGGTCTATTAATTTTATGCTGCTTAAAACTTCATCATCCTTGCTGATAGATTTATTAAGAGGTAGAGTTTTAGATCCAATAGAACCATTGTGATCTGCGGAATTAAAAACAGGGCGTTTGAACTCCAAATTAAGCACTCTGGTTAGATTTAAAGGGGAATTGACGTAGTTGAATGGCAAAACTAGCCAATCCTTGCTCTCATAGCCATCCTTGATGTCCACATTAAATATATTTTCATCTTTGTTAACATTTTTGGTCACATTATTTTCAGATACATTTAAAGTCGCGTTAGTGAGGACAGAAAAGAGATTAGAAATAACTGAAAGTATAACTTTTGGGGCGCCTATCACTTGTTCCGTTATGCCATCGCTTGATTCGGGATCAATAAATTGAAGGTCTTTCTTTTCAAGCAATCTATATTTCGCGTCAGCCTGATTATCATTGTAATCAAATATATCATGATACTCCAAATTGTTTCTACTTTTATAATCTAACTTGTCTTTTGATCGTATATCATTAATTGTATATGTATTGAGGACATTAGTATTTTTTGTCGTTGTATCTTTCAAACTGGTTTGTGAATATTGCATAATTGTTAATGTATTGAGGACATTAGTATTTTTTGCCGTGGTATCTTTCAAACTGGTTTGTGAATTAATTTTGATAGAGACTGGACCTTTAGAGCTGAAAAAAGTAAAATTGTTCAATTTTTTAATAGACTGTATACGCTCGGTATTCAAACGTTTAACGTCTGATAAGCTATTATTTACGATATTAAAAGACATATCAGTTTTAGTATAGTCGAGATCATTATTCTTATGATTAATCTCGGTATTTTGCTTATATAAATTTCTGTGTTGATTTGAGCTCTTAACAAATATCTCAGAAGATGCATTGTTGTTCAATATATTTATATCCTCGATGTTGTTGTAATCTGTTGTATTAGAGGCTGAACCAAATGGTTTATCTTTTTTCAAATGATAAGATGTTATTTCATAATTTATATCATTACTGGCTTTAATATCCTCCTTTGATCTATTTACGCTTTGATTGTTATTAATGTTATTGATATTTTCAACAGAGTTCTTATATAAATTTGAAATCATTACGTTTAAGTTTGGAAGATTATCCCAAATACCAAGGTCATCTTGGATCGTAATTTTTTTTAAAAAAAATAGAAATATATTTAATAACAAATAATTTAAAATGCCATGTATAATATACTGACTCAACTCATTGGCTTTGGTCAGATAGTTTAAATAAAATATGTCCTCCGGAGACAGGGTTGTGAAAAAAAGGTTTGTGGAAACATACTCGGCCAACTCGGGTGATCCCATATTAAGGCCTTTAACCCACTCAGTCTTAGCCAAGTAATGCACTCATCAAAAATTAAATTTACACTGAAACTTTGGGGTTAAATCGGGTTTCAAATAAAATAAAATGTAACCTCTAATTTTTTTCACTCCATCATTATCCGTTAAAGAAGAGTTATTTTCGGAAAGTGCCTTCAACCTACTTTTCAAGAGAACTAGAGTAGCTATTATGGATTCCAATGAAATATTAGAATTTTTTAAAGAGTCCTTGAATATGTCTCTTCCGGGGTAGGCTTCGCTAGTGTTATATTTCGGGTGCTTTTCCAGGAACTTGTCAACATCTGTTAGCGAGTCAGAATCATCAGTTCTAAAACCAACTTTAAATTTATTTTTCAAATCAAAATAGAATTTGGCTTAATTATAAAAATTTAATTTTTAAACATGTCTCTTTATGATTGCCAAGCCAACGAGATAACAATAATATAATATATAAAATTATGACTGCACCAATCTTCATGGAGGGAGGGGGTGATCCTAATCAGATATTTCTATTTGCCGATCAATAAAACCAATCCACCCAATACCGATTGATTTATAAATTTAAAAATTCTAAGCATCTATTTAAAATGATTATATTTTAATAAAATTTAATCATTTTTATTGATAACCTGTCAAATCTGGCAGATTATATGATTAAAGAAAACCCCAATATAAATTCAAACAAAATCATTAATATTGACGCAGTCCTATATAAAATGAACATGAAAGTTGATGTGATCATCCGCCAATAGAGTGTAGGATACTTTTTCTATAAATATTCATGCCATATTTAAATATTTTTTCTATCGGGGCACAAATTATTAGAAATTCTTCAAATAGCAAAGGCTAGGCTTTGATTTATACGTAATATATATATTGAATATATATACCCGCTGAAGAGATTTTCGCTTCTGCTGCATTGATAAAATTATCGTGGATATTTAGTAATTTTGCAGCGGTAGATATTAAGGGAAACTTTTGCGTACTGCAAGTTGAACCTCCAAAATCGTCCAAAGCTAGATTCCATACCATGGCTCCACCATAATTATGTTTGATTAAGTATTTTGCCTTTAGATATTTACAAAATAAGTGTGTAAGCATATTTATTTATCAGTGGCATTGGTAGATTTTTAAAATGAGGAGGAAAGGAAGAGGTCTCTTTTTTTTCAAAATTAACTAGAAAAAAAAAGATTTTTTTTTAAAGTTATCTCAAAAAGACAAATTCTATCCAAAGTAAGCAAATGAAATCCATATCTAAAGGAGAACTTCCAATTTTTTTATGGGGCTTCTTAAAATCTTTAATGGTTCGAGCCCTTCAGATAAATATGCTCATTAGAATCTTCCTCGATAAATATTTTTGGAATTAGGGTAAACCTCTCATAGCCAGAGAGATCTGTTATGCCCGGCTCATGGGCCGTACTTGATACAAATTTAAACGGACCTGTTGAACTAATTCCAAACCGAGACGAGCTTAAAAACTTTGCTATTTACAGATCTCTAGATGACTACTAATAACAAGTATTTACAATATACGTTTAAAATAACTCAAATAGTATTTTTTGAAATATTTAACTTTCAATATCACGCTTTCTTTATTTTCGTAACTTAGCCAGAGGTTGTCCTTGAAAGCGTATGGAACTAATGAATCATTGTCGAATTTCTTTGTCCAGCCAAGAGTATTATTATGAATAATTTGACAAATCTTATTAAAAAAATTATAAATTTAAATATGTTCATTTGATAAGAATACGTAATTACAAATTCTGAAAAAAAATAAATTGTTTTTTTCACACCTGTATTTAATGTTCCTACTAATAATAAATCAAACAATTATTCAAAAAAAGACAAGAAGGGTGAGTCCTGGTTTAAAGAAGTCACTAAAGGTCGCTATTTAGCCGATTAACCTAAAATGTAAGAGAGAGAAAAAATTAAACGAAAAAATAAAATAAAAAACGAAAAAAAAAATACGAAAAATAAGAATGTAACTAAACAATAAACCAACCAAAATAGGGTATCCTAGTTCAAAAACTGTTAGCCTAGGCGAAACAGAACTAAGTATCAAGAATAAGTCTAACTAAGACATGGCCTCAATATATTTTTTTTTTAAATTACGTTAAAATTCCAGTATAATTTATTATAAATTAAATTGAAATATAGGTAAATATAAACTTCATAATTAGACAAGATTCCGGATTCCGAAGTATAAGGCCCAACAGGTCCCGGTCCAATAATGGCATCTCCTGGCTTATTGTTTGAATGGTGTCTCAATTTAAATAATCTTCCGTATGTTGGAATTCCTATCAACAATTTATGCAAGGGAGTACCATGTTTGTGCCAATATTTCATGGCCCAACTCTTTTATATGACAAATAAACATTTTTTTTATATAAATATCAAAAGATGATAGAAAGAAAACTGATTAAAATATTAATTTTTTTTAAAAAAATGAAGTTTACCCTCAAGTTCTTAAAGTGAGCCATTAATGATTAGTTTACTGAAGTATCATAAAACTCGTTTAAAAAAATTAGGTTATATTAAATTGTAAGGAACGCTGATTAAAATGTATATAAAATCTTGATCTAGACTCTTCAGTCATTAAAGGACATCGATACTAACATATAAACTTAACTTTTATCGGTAAATCTTACAAATAGACTTTAAAACAATTACCATCAAATGAATTTATTCGACTCTCTTAATTTGTGTTTTGAAAATAATAAATCTTAATTTTTTTTAAAAATATATAACTAAAGAAAAGTCTGATTTGGAATGATATAAAGGGCTGTTATGCCCTGCGTTAGGTTGCCACAAACCATTCATATCGTATGTCATGACTGCGATGAAATCGAAATATCTATACAAATAATAATATATTTAAGGATACAGAAAATAATCGAGAACAAATAATACATAATACATGTTCAACATTGACTTAATCGTGGTGTTTTTATATTAAAAACAACTATGCAACTTAATAAGTAAATCACAAATAATTCGTTTTTTCGAGCACGAATAATTAATCGATTTGAATAATTCAAAATATTTCTTATTCGTTTAATAAAAAAATTATAGTTCTTCCATTAATTTAAGTGTTTCTAAAAAAACATAGTTTAATATGTGAAACTTTGACAATTTTGGAATATCGTATCCGTTGTCGATATTCGTTTCGCCAGCGGATACGGCAGCAGTTATAAGTAACTTTTTGGGGTTAGTAGCGTTATTTTGATCTTTATCTAATTCTTCTCTCAATTCCTAAAAAATTTTTTTTATGTATATCAAAATTTAGGAGAATTCTAAGTTTTAATGCATAATATTTAACAAAATCCCATTTATAATAACTAGTTTTATTTTTTTTTTGATAAAAAATCAAAGAATTATATGCATGGGCCGGGTCTCTGCCAATAAAAAAAACTTTATATATTGAACCAGCCTGGTGTTGTTTATATTATTAGATGTACACCATATTTTTGTGCAAAGTCAGTAGTGTTGTTAAACGGCTCATTTTGAGCCGATTTTTTAAAATGGCTAACTCAATATTTTAGCCAGAAAAATATTGCCTAAGTCTCGAGATTTCGATAATATATGCCTAGACCTTTGTTCCTTCTATGAGCAAAATCTTGAGGCTTGCGTAATATTTTTCTGGACGAAATATTGAGTTAGTCGTTTTTAAAAATCGGCTCAAAACGAGCCATGTAACAACACTAAAAGTCAGGATTAGAATCTTAAGATTTAATAATCTTCTTGATCTATTCAATTAAATTATTTTTTATATACAAAATAATGCTTAAAATTGATCTTCAAAAGTAATAAAATAATCAATTTAGATTTCTAATGTAAATTCTTATTTCTTTTCAAAAAACCTTCATAAAAATTGGGAAATTGATTTTATCTTCGTTTAATCTTCCCCCCTGACCTTCGTGTCCAGGGTACTCCCAATCTATATCTATACCGTCCAAGTTTCTTTTCAATAAATACTCTTTTGCGCTTTTAACGAACACGTCTCTAGTGGTTTTATTCCTGGCTAAATCGCTTTTTTAAAATAAAATATTTAATTCAGTATATGTCATGGGGATTTTTATCATGTAATTCTTTTTTATTCTGCGTAACTTTAATGGGTAAATTTTTTGAACCTAATGTATAACCTAAACATAAGATATCAGATTTTAAGTAGGCTTAAAAATAAAAATTGTTATAAATTACCTAAATACTTTCGCACCAGCATTCCAACCTCCCACACCAGCTATTATTTTAAGATCAGGGTTGATAATCTTCAAGGCATTCAATTGTTCAAATTGCTCTTTTAAAAAAATAAATAATATAGGAAGTGTTGTTAAATGTCTCGATTTGGGCCAATTTTTTAAAACGGCTAACTTATTATTGTAACCGGAAAATTGTTTAAGCCTCACGATTTCACTAATAGATATTCAAACCCTTGTGCCATCTATGAGAAAAATCCTCAGCCTTGCATAATATTATTCTAGATAAAATATTGAGTTAGTCGGTTTTAAAAATCGGCTCAAGTCGAGCCATTTAACAACTATAAATATAGGTTTTATATAAGCGAGCAAACACTTAAGACTAGGATTTCTAAACAAAACCCCCCCAAAAAATTGCTTTTGGTATTTGATTGGTAAATTTTTTCTTCTTCCGCCAAATATCGTTAATAGATCTCCACAATGATTAATTGTACATATAAAATGATTAAACCTTTATCAAATTTAGTTCGTTAATTTTTTTATTGTCGTATATTGTTTAAAAAATTTTAGGGATGTTCCGATATTAAATAATCAGATAGGGCTAATATTTTCAAATTTGGTATTTTTTTTAATCAAAATTCAATTTATTTAAAATGTTTTTGAAAAATATCGAATTACTTTAAAAGATAAATAGCTAAAAACTTGATATTATTTTATTATTGATTTATCTGCAATAAGAAAAAGAATTTAAAAATATCTAACGAGTCACATTCAGCTAGTGCTGTTAAACGGCCTGATTCAAACGATTTTCAAATAACTTAAGATTATAACTAAAAGTAAATTACCTAAGCCTGGATATTTTCAGATGATTGGTGAAATTTCGAGGCTTAAGTAATAATATTTTGGCTAAAATCTTGATTTAGTAGTTTTTAAAAATTTACATTTAATCATTCGTGAAAGTTAGTTGGTTCTTTTTTTTAATAGAAAATATTAATTTTTTATGACATTAATAAAGATAGGTAGTAAATAAATATTAATTTAAATATCGAATCAGTGAAAATTTTGTGGATCGGCACAGCCCTGAAAAATGACTAATTTTGATAAGAATTAATTTTGCGAAAAAATAAATAAAATATATTCTTTTAACTGAACCTTCAGTGTTATGTTCGATATTTTGAACGGTAAAATTAGGTGCTAAGTATAGGAAGGCGTATATGAGGTGAGTGCAGAGTAGTGGATTGACATTAGCGGTGGTGAAGTTATAAGGGTATCTTTTCCATTGGTCCCATCCAGTAAAGTAACAAAACAAAACCTTAGTACCTTCAAAATATTTATATGATGATATTAATTAATTAAAATTATATAAAATTAATTTATATTCTACATCAAAAAATTATCCTTATCTTAACTCATTCATTTAGCCAAAATTAATATATCCCCTCCAAACTGCACCGCTGAAAAATATTAAGACGGAATTCCTACAATATTCACTAATCTTATTTAAAGATATGAGTATTTCTTACAACATATATCTATCACATGAGCTGAAGTATATTTAATAAACGCTTCTAATAATACCAAACTAATACAAATGCAAAGCTTAATTCACCCTACGATATCAACCATTAAAGTCAAAATGTCATGGGAAATGAGTTCCCTTTTTTGCCAACTACCCTACATCAACAAATTAACCTAGACAAATATTTAACCTCATCAAAATGGATTAAAAAAACAAAGATTAAATAGAAATGACAAGGTGTTGAGGAGCTAGCCCTCTGATAACCTAAGGCAAATCTCGTAATTGCATATAGTGCGATGGTGAATTATAATACCTTAGCAAACAATAAAAGTAGAGAACAAATTGCTTATTCCTTCCTCATATATTGGCCTCTAAAATCAATGAGGAGGTTTAAGGGTAAACTTTTTAACACATGGTTCACAAAGAATTCACATAATTCATAGGCGTAACCAGGGGGGGTGGCAAGGGGAAATCCTCCCCCTTCAGAAATTTATCACTTTTTGTGAATATCATTTTAGGCTAATAAAAAATATCCCCATTAGTCCTCCCCCCACTCCCTGATCCCCAAAAACAAAAATGTATGCACATATCAAACAATAATTTGAAAAAAGAATGTAAAAGTTGATATTTTTTTATAAAACTATTCAGCATCATTTATACATTTTTGGAAAAAAGCATTTATATATAAAAAAAAGTGAACCAAAAATGTTTTTTAAGAAATGGAATATAAGCCAAAGATAAGTCTTAAGACAAAACAAAAGTGAAATGTATTATAATTATTAATAATCGATCCATAAAATTACTAAATAATATAATATATCAAATTTAATTTTTTATAAAGTGAGTAATTTTAATTTATTTATTTTAATAAAAGTAAAATATAACCATAAAACTATTGATAAAATTAAAGCACAATACAAACAGTGGAAATATGTCGTAGATTTACAGTATATCTAATTTTATCAATTATCATATGACAAACAAATAATTTTTACCAATATAGAGAATTATATATTAGAAAACTATAAAATATTGATAAGAACATCAGAAAATATCTTTTAAAGACCTTGTGGGATGAATAATATGAAGATTATTTTTTAATATCATTTTTTCTTAAAAATAAAATAGATCGCGTTAAATAATTGAATGCAAATTGTTGCAATATTTATTATCAAAAGCATTGATTAGTAAATTTTGTTAAAGTATTAACTGTAATATATTCTCTAACTGTCAAATATGTCTGTAAAAGTGGAATTTTACCTAGTATTAACCAATTCTATATAATAGAGGAATATCAACTATATGTCTACTTACTTTTTATAAATAAATTTCTTATACTTGTTTGGAATAAATTATTACCATGCTTTTATATTAATATATATACAAGTAATTTATTATATTTTATATAAACTAATAAAAATATATTTCATATTTGTTTCAGGCTTATTTTTTTTATTAAAAATAACCTTCTCTCTTGTAAAAATATTTTTTGAGTATATATAGACTAAGGTAACCCGGCCGAAGGCCGGGCAGGCAAAGCGGGTCGAAGGCCCATCCAAAATGGGGTCTGGGGGCTAAGCCCCCATAAATTTTTAAATCTCATCCCCTTAGGAAAATCCTGGATACACCTATGACATAATGCTTCTCATTCTACAACATAAAGGAATAGTATATGAATCGACAATAATAGAGAGAGCACCAATCTTATGCACAAAGAAAAAAACGGTATTGGCATAGCCAGGTTTTATCTAGAAGGTGGGGTGGGGGCTTACGGATATTTTTTTGGATTTGCCCTATAAAAAATTATGATAAGGTATTTTTGATTTTCTCGTAGTTATTTTTATTTTGACTTTTTAAATATGTAATCTTAATATCATCTCGGTTAAAGTTAGCTAGGCAATTCGAGGCACTAATTCTAAATTCTATGTCAATGTTTCATACCTTACTATGCTTTAAACATTGTAAAGGAAAAAATTATTAGCAATAAAACTTTGGCCAGCCTTACGATTAAAAATCGATTGAACGCATTTATTCTAATTTTATCAATGTGTAATGTTTAAATCTATGATTTCACCGTAGAAAGAAAAAAAGTTATTATTTAGCGAAATAAAAATAAATTACCAAAAATGAAAATATAGAAGAACTAAATATCTGGTTAACACTAATATTTATTGCTTGAATAGTAATAAAAAACGGAGTTATAAAAAAAATAAAAGACCACGTGTTTTAAGCGTGAAGTGAAGAAAATATGTGGAAATCAATAGCTTTCATAAAAAAATCAAATTTAGACCTCAAGTTGTTGGAATGGTATGTGTCTAATATCTTACTAACAATTCCCACTTATACTTCTTTTTGTAGAAAGAAATTGGTCGGTATGGGGTATTATGAAAACCTTGACAACCAGAAAATTGATATGAGTATATCATAACCCAAATATGTTTAAATACATCAAAGTTTCTTTTTTTCCCCCCGATTCAAGTTATTTTTAAATCCTATGCGCTACGATCTTTAGGGATATTATTTGTTCTTTTATTAGATTTAAAAGTAAAATAGTTAAAATCTCATTATATTTGATCTAGCCCGGTACTAAAAATGAAGTTTGCCAAACTTTTGAAGGCACTAATTCGAAAGCTTAAGCCAATATATAATGCTTAACTAGTATGCACCTCCTCCTTGTCTTATATTATATATGAAACCTTTAGCAGGTGTGGGAATCTCTTCTTCCAAAGTTACGTAGGGTTCTTTTTCCTCTACCACGATTTCCTCTTGATCCGGCTTCTCGTTCACTTCTTTAGTAAACATTCGATTGCAAGGGCATTTTTGGGAACCCTCAGTCATGATTGAGCTCTCATTTTTTAAGTCTAAAGAAAAGATGTGTTAATTTTTATAATCGTCAGTCAGCGCGATCAAAAAATCCGGTCTTATATATCAACCAGACGTTTGACATAAAAAAAATTTATCTTGTGGTAACCTAAAATACTATACTCGGATTTACGAGAGAAGAGTTGGGATTGCCAATTCCATACACATGTTCCTATTTCGGGGTCAAAAACTACTATTTGTTTGGCATTAACAGGGTCTTGCAAGTTAGAGTTGCTGGCCATTGAACAAGGTCTTCGATAACGCGTAAATCCGCTGTAACTCTGAACGCATTCCCAATAATATCTAGAATTTTTTAAAAAAAATAGTTATCTAATTAATAAAATAAAACACCATAATTCTGATTCAGTTGATAAGACCTTAGGTATTCGAAAGTTATGGAAATTTTTAACATATATAATTATCGCAGATGGATGCTTCAAATAATATAAATTAGTTTTTTAGTTTTAAAATAAAAATAATAAGATATTATAGTAACAATAATAATAACCTGCAATCGGAGTGATCAACGAAGAGCCCATTACCAGTACAAGTGAATTCTTTTTTGATAGCCGCAATGCAAGCAGCGATCAATGTCTTAGTTGTCTCCTCATTGACAAGATTCCCTAGCAAATTTGTTGTGTTGTAGGTCAGAATATCTAACAGCAAACGTGAATTAGTATCGTTGGTATCATTTCCATCATCATTAGGTAAAGTTGGAAATGGTGATGTTATCATCGCACTTTTTGGCCCTGCTTCATCCGAGATCGTAACAACTGTTAAATGATATAACGTCATATTATATTTTTATATTTTATTGCATTTTAACCTAATTATTAATATAATTTTTTTAAATTTAATTAATGATCGTTTTTAAATTAAAGTGCATATTCTTTTTAACTATAAAGTTCATAACTGACAATAGAGCAACCGGTAATGTTTAATACGAATTTTGAATCTTGAAAAATTACACACAATTATAACATTAAATACAAAAACTATTTATAAAGAAAAATGCTTTAAAATTTATTGTATATACCATAAGAACTGGTAGTAATCGTTTCTTCCTTTGAGGCACCACTGTTATAGGCATCACATTGGCAAGATCCTTCCTCGATTGAAAGTTTCAACTTATCTAACGTTATGCGAGGATATTTATCGTGGCCTGGGGGTTTCCATATACAAACACCATAAATAGGATCGTACATAGTCTTTGTGGGGTCGGCGCATGCTCTATAAAACTGTATATAGGAGGAGGTCAATTGGTTGTACAGGCATTCGTAGTAATGGCTATATCACAATAAATTTTGGTCATATTAAGCTATAGTATAGAAATTATACATTATTTTTTATAATTAATATATAGTTACAACTAAAGATCTGCTAAAATAAGACCGGCCCGAACGGGCTTCGAGGGGCCTATTTTTTAAAAAAAAAGTTCTGCCGGGTCCGGTCGGGCCTTGGAAATTTTTAAAAATATATCTAAATTTATTAATTTTATGTTGAATTTATTATGTAAAATAAAAATATTTAATTTTATTTATGGAAACTAGACGCCATATGATATAACATATATCTTTTATTTGGGATAGAATAATTTAAAAAAAAATCAATTTCTATATCTTAAAAAATTTAGGGTTCGGGCCTGGCCGGCAAAACTTTTTAAAAATTAACTTTATTGCTTGTATTGTAATTGTAACATTTTGTATTAAATCCTAATTAATAAATTCGAGGTTAAAAATGTATTCAGGGAGTTTTAAATTAAAAACCTTTTGAATTTTCAAAAAGTTCCCTCTAGTCCAATAACAATTTTATTTACTTATTTATCAATTTTGTAAATAATATCATACCTTAAACCAAATACTATTTCAAATTTCTTTGATTTTAAATTCTAACTCCTTAAAAAAATAATGATTTTCATAAATATTTTATAAATAATCATAAAAAAAGAATTGCTTCATTAAAATTTAGACACAATTAGTTTTATGTTTTCATCTGAGAACAATTCAAATAACTTATAGGCTGCGTTCTAATTGGGATCGAGTGTATCAATATTAATTTTCAATTCGTTTGTAGAAAATAATATTGAAAGTCCTATACGTTTCAATAGCTTACCAATTAGGCCCAGCTATAGTGCATATAATAAGAAATTATTTACCCACAATCAAATTTATCCTGAAAACTTCCTTCTTTAGTGCATTTAAATTTGTGGTTGCCCCAGTTTCTCCTACAGTAGCCCTCTAAATCTGTGTCATCTTCAATAGAATTCTTATCTTGCGCTGTCGCTGCAGATATTTTGGTACTATCCGGTTCAAATTTAGATATAGTTGTTGATGCTACCACAGTACTAAGGGTTATGTTAAGTTTCAAAGAATCGGTCAAATTGATTTTGCTTACGTCGGCAATAAGCGTGGAAGCTTTATTCACACTCCCTGTAGAAGTTGAAATTAGTGGTTTCGTGGTAACAATATTAGCAGTACTTGCATTGTTCAAGGAGTTAGATACTTCTTTCGGGCTTGTCCATGTCGTAGATGTTGATACTTTAGTAGGAATTGTTTTGGTAAATATTGGTATCAGAGGAATGAAGGTTGATGAAGTTTCTGAAATTGGGAGAGATGAAGTCGATTTTATATCAACTTGGCTAATAATATTAGTGTGAGGCCTATTTGTAGTGGTTAAATTAATCAAAGGCTGTAGATTTATTATAAGCTTGCCAGATTTTCCGAATTCAGTAATGGCTGTGTCAGCTGTAGATGTTTTAGGAATTGAAATATTAATGTTTGAAGTGGATGCATTCAAGATTAAAGTAATTTCTTCAACAGTAGATTGTGTGGTCGTTAAATCTGAGTAGAGGCTGGTCTTAGTTATGGCTGCCAATGATGGATTGAGCGATAATTTAAGAGTTTTAGAGTCGGTTGAAGTAGGAGCAATAAATACAGGAGTACTAGAATAAGAATTTTCCATCTCTGTGACTCTTGTTGAGTTTTCAATATTTTCAGTAGTGGCGTTCGAAACATTTTGTTTATCTGAAGTTGAAACGATAGCCGAATAAGGAGTGCCAGTAGAAATGGAAATCGAAATTGGTGGAGCTATTGTAATGGGTGTTTTGGCGTCCAGAGCTGAAGTTGAGGAAGAAATGATTGTAGTAGGGTAAGGCAAAATTGAGATCTCGGGAGATATAACAGGTGGCACCGGGGATATGGAAGAATAAGGACATATGGGACTGAATTATTTTTTCGGGTTAAAAATTGAAATTAAATAGGAATAGTCAATTGATTTTAATGAGGAAGAAGGTCATTTTAATCGGGTTAAATAAACATCAATCTACAATACAAATACAGTGTGTGTATGATTTGTTGTAAAACATTTCCATATATCTGAAACTGCTGTAATTATTGTAAAAACATATTGATAACATTTAATAAAAAAAAAATTACAGCAATTATTAAAGAAAGTTGTTACAAATATATGGAAATGTTTTACAACAAATCATATTTATGCTATACAAAGAAACTAAGATTAAAAATAAATCTCAATAACTCGGTCTATATGATCTAAAGAAATAAAGATAAACCAATAAAGAAACAATACGCACCTCACTGAAGTTCTTGAGCTGCTGGTAGATCCACAAGTATTTGGATAAGTTGATAAGCGTGATTTGATGTGTTTAATCAACGGGTATTTTCCTTCTTCACAATTTATACCAGCGTGGTCGTCCAAAGCTAAATCCCAAACCATAGCACCGCCCAGACATTTCGATAACACATAATTTATCTATTTTATTTATTTTTCGAATAATGAAACATTATTATAGAGGTTAAAATTTCAGGCCTGACTTTAATTTAAACAAAGAAAAAATTATTTTCAGGTCCAGTACGACTCGGGATTTTAAAAAATTTTTGACCTGGTTGGATTGACAATTTTTCTCTGGGCCGGAATTAAAAGAAAATTTCAACTTAAGATGGAAGCAATTTTAACCTTATGATCTAAGCTTGATTTGTCATCGTAGCCAACCCATTGATCGTCTTTGAACGCATATGGCACTCTTCCTAAGTCGTCCCAGGTTTTAGTCCATTTATCTTTTTTCAGGTGTCTACAAATCTATAATATATGATATTTACTTATATAAAAATAATAGGCTAAAAAAATTTTTTTATTGTTTATAAATATTTAATAATATGGTACAGTCTAGTAATCGATACGAAGAAGTCACAAAAAAAAAGTTTATTTAAAAATCAAATTTATCATAGGTAGAAAAAGTATTGGTTTTTTTAATATTAAATTCAGATTAAAAGTATACATACACCATACATTTTTTTATATTAATAATTTGATATACATTCATGTTAAAATGTTTGCTGTGACATTTCTAAGCAGCTTCGTAACAATCAGGGTAACAGAAATTGCGTTACAACGGAGCTCAGGCTATATATTGTGGGAAAAGTTTATATAGGGCATGCCCTGGCATCGCAGCGCTATTGGCCTTTCTTACTTTACATCTCTAGCATATCTATATATGCATAGTTTATTTCCAGAGTTGTTAAAAGATACCCTTCAGGTGGATACAGATACATCGACCAAAATACAGATATATTCATGATTGTTAGCCCTTATTAATAAAACATTCTCATAATTTTTATTACTGAGGCATCCCCTTTTAAACACATTTTTATCCATATTAGAAAGTCTTTCAACGTGCTAGAAGACAGTTTTAGTGTTATACTTTATGAAATCTTTATATTATGATAATCTTATATAGTAGAATCATGGCGTTCATTTTTAAAAATGATCATTTTTTAATGGGTGTTTAAAAATGTGTTAAAAATCTTTCAATTTTTTTCTGCGATTCGTATCATATGGAAACTTTAAAAATTCTTCTACAAATCTCTGGATTAATTTTTTTCTTTAAATTTTCCGACATTTGTAGTTAAGTCCAATCAATTTCAAAATTTGCCGATGATAATGTTGATTGTTTCTTTTACATCATTATCACTAATATTAATTATCTAAAAATTTATAATATATAGATTATTCCCATATTTTGTGCAAAATAAAACGCGTCTTTAATTGAAAATAATAAACTTTAATAAACTCGAACATATATAAATTTAATATAAAAAAATAGGATTAAATTTAAAAAAATTTTATATAATAAAAAAAACGTATTATAAAATTGTATCAAAATTTTTTATAAATAGATTAAGATAGCAGCTAATATTTATGGAAACGACACAGATACAATTTTTTTCTAGATGAATGTAACTACCAACTCTGCTATAAATAAAAATAACCAGTAGTTGGTTAAAATTTAAAAAAAAGCCAACCTCGTAATAAGACAAGACTCCTGGTTCTAGTGTTAATTTCCCGGCCTTACCAGGCCCTTTTGCGGGCAAATTCAATAACGCTGACTTATTTGTGTCACTAATAAGAGTGCTTTCATCCTGCAAGGGTTGATGAAGAGTGAAACTCCTACCATATGTAGCCATTCCTGGGATTAGTTTTGACCTATCAACTCCATTTTTGATCCAATAATCGATGGCCCAGGTCTGTTAATTTTATTTATAATTTGAATAGTATTTTTACAAACTACTTAATTACTAATTAGCATCTTATTAACTAACTTTGTAAAATTGATAATTTACGAAATATTTCTTTTCTTTTACTTTCTTTCTTTAATTTTGAATATCATATAATTCTATTATTTAGAAAAATAAATATAATTTTGATTATGTTTCATTTCATATGTTATGCTGACTTGCGCTTCAAAGAATAATCTATTTTTTATTCCAATGTTATAGTATGACTTTTTTTTATATAAAGGTAATCTCAAAATTTTGAACAAAGTCTTAAAGTTATATGATATGGAAGATAAAAAGTTATGTTATACAGCTTGAATCTGATAATATCATGATTTTAAAAAAATATTCGCTCTTTAAAATTATTATATAAATTTTATAGATATAATACGAGCATCTCGATAATTTCTGTCAAAATATATATATATTTTTTTTTATCATTCTTTCCTTCAAACTCTAAAGTAATTGACCAATAGAAGCGTAATTCACTATAATTCCAATTTGAAGAAATAAAAAATTGTTTAAAATTTAATTTTAGTTTCTATACGAAATTAATCATAAAAATAAATATAACCCTGCATTGATAGTTAGCGCGAATTCGCGTCGAAGTATATAACTGTATTTTTGTATTATTCGCTGCGAATTTTCTGTACTTCACCGCGAATTCGCGCTAACAGTGAATGAGTGGTAATGCATACTACTTATACTAAATAATGATACATAATAATATTTACCAAACTATAATAATCGCCCGTTGAATTATAAGGACTATTTAACCCCGTTACATTTTCCCAAGCTCCGTGAAAATCGTAAGACAGTAGATTAAAGAAATCCAAATATCTTTTAAAATAATAATAATATATGAGAAAAAGCAAAAAACAATTAGATTTATAATAAATGAACTTAAAATTATAACATACTCAGTATTTAATCCAGAAAAATATTACACAAGCCTGAAGATTTTGCTCTCAGTAGATGATACAAAGGTTTGGACATCTATTAGCGAAATCTCGAATCTTAGACAATATTATTCTGGCTAAAATATTGGGTTAGCCGTTTAAAATCGGCTCAAATAGAGAGGTGTTACATTACAACATGCATTATGTTCTTTCTCCATTTTATCCTCATGTAAATATTGATTCTTATCTTGTATATTTTACAAATTGTCTTCATATTTATTTTAAATAACAATTTTTTAAAAAAAGGTCCCTAAGATTATTTCCTCATACCATTTATAATACTTAGAATTGCCAGTTTGTTATAAAACATAAAAAAAGAATTATCCTATCCCTTTAAAAAAAATGTAAAACTTAATTAAAGTAAATGATATCTAAAAAGAGTTTTAATTTTTCTCACTTTTTTATACCAATTAAAAATTTCTGGCTCCTAGTAATCTTAGAGATATTTTTATAAATAATCCCGGATTTAATATCTCATCTTAGCTCGAGGCTAAATTAGTTACGAATTTAATGGAACTAATTTATACCTATATCCAAGCATTTAAAACGATAATTCACATTTCTCATATTTGTTTATCATTTAAAATATTATACGAATAACATTTATGACTTCGAAATTTAGTTTTCACGAATGCAACTTGGACACTTACTCTTAATAACAATAATACGAAATTCCTAACTAATTTGATAAAACTTGAAGGTATAAACGTTTTAAAAAACCTCTTTCCTAAGAGAAATGTCAATTCTGGATTTTACGATGTATATCTCTTGTCAAATTTACAATCAATTTTTTTATTATTCTATATCTTAATAATGTCATTAAATATCATATTAACTTGTTAAGTTCCGGAATATGGTAAGCGAAATCTATTTTATCTTTGCCCGCTGATACCGCTGCAGTTAGCAATAATTTTTTCCCGCTAGAATTGAAAGCTTGTCTTAGTTCCTTTGAATTCATTATACAATTTTAGGTTATAAAGTTTTAATGAATATTATACGCATAATAGATATTTAAAAAATAAAACTTTTTATTTTCTTCAAAATTCAAATATATCTAAATATATATTTTTTTAATATTTAGCGAATTTGAATTAATTTTTTTAATTATAAACAATAGATAAAATGATTTGAATTAGATTATATATAATTGTTCTGTTCTGATACCAAGATAGCTTCATTTTGCAGGGTGAACAACACTAAGTTACCCGGCTAAAATGTCTTTTCAAAGGTATAAATTTTCAGAATTCACCCTGCCATAGTATTTAAACCAGATTAAAATAAAGGAATGTTACTAACTTATAAATGATCTACAATTTCGTCCTTTGGATGTTAGATATCAGATTCTATTTCACAAAACGTCAAATTACATGATATCAATATTATATATTATAGATAAAGATTAAATTAGCATCCTCTAATGACAAACTATAAAATTGAAGTAGAAATGGGAAAGGAATTTAAAAACATTAAACTGGTTATACAGAACGAATTTTTTCTAAGAACTTTTAAAGACATGTTTCTCAGATTATATTATATAATAATTATTTATTTACCCTATTTCAAAACACCCTCTTAAATGATAATCTATACTACTCTAATGTTGGGAAATGAAGAAGATCTTGCCTTAAATATTCAAAACTTTCTGGTTCTAGAAGTTCCAGCTATACAAGTCAATGTAGAAAGTTACTTTTCTTCTTTGAAATGTATATTTACCATCTTCATAGATCTCGAGTAATTTATTGAAAGAGATTTAAATTATTTCTAGAATCATAAATAAACTTTTTGAAATAGAGTTAAAGGCGTTTAGATCAATGATATATCATATTTTTAGTATTCAATAGTAATTTATAATAGTTAAAAAATAATTAACAAAATCCGCCTAAACCCATTCCGAACCCGAAAATCAAGGCCTAAGCTTGATAAGATCTCAATTATCCCTGGTTACTAAAGAAAGGAATTTCTCGTGAAAATGGTCGACTTTTCAAACGGAAGGAGAGTTGATAAATAATAATGTATAATTCTCAAGTTGCTAAAAGTTTCTTAAAATTTAATTAAAACTTTTTTATAAGTCGGGACTTTGATGAGTATGCCAAACTAATTTTATTCGCATCATTATTTATTATAATATCTTTTCTTTTAAATTATACAAAAAATATGAATTTTTTTTATATAAGGTCATTCAAATAAGTTGGAAAAAAAAACATTTTAATTGCCAAGGTTATAAAAAATATATTATTAAAAAATTCGCCACTACGTATCTATTTTTTTTAAAGAATTCCCATTAAATTAGGCTATTTTCATACAAAATAAATTTTAAAAATTTTTTAAAAAAAATTATGTCATTCGGTTTTGATATTAATATTAAGAACCATAGTTGGAGTGGCTAAAAATTAAGTGAAATATCATATTTAAAATTGATATTTTTTTAATGTAAAAGGGCGTTAAAAAACCATTATGTTACATAATAATGACTTATACTTCAAATTATTCAACCTTAGACTGGCAGCCTGTCAGCATTCTCAACAAAAAAAAATTTCTAAAATTAATATTATGAAAATTTAAGGAATGATTTGCCACAAATTTAAAAATTTTTTTTTTTTTATTTTTGTAAGTTTTCATTATAAATTATTATTATTAGAAATTATTTATTAATCGTATTACTTTTTCAAAGTATTTTTTTCTTTAAAAAAATACATTAAACCTTTATTTAAAAGAGTGCGAATGCATAAATAAACCCAATTAATTTTTAAAGGTAAGGTAAAAAAAAAAAATTATTTATAAATATTGAAGTTCGTTACATAATAATAATAATAAATTTGTATATTTTATAGCTAACCTTTTTTATATAAAAAAAAAAGACAAGTTTAACGGTTTAACCAATTTGAAAATAATGATTTAATTTCTAATCTATAAGAATGAAACCATTAACTTTTCATGCTTTTCGTTTCGTATCACTTTTAAGAAAAAAAATGGTTAATGGAAATTTTCATTATACACTTCTAGAAGAAAAAAAATTAGATTAGATTACAAATTAAAGAATTAGACGGCAGCATTTATAGTAAGACCGAAAATAGAGCAATATGTCTCACGATTGGGCCACCAGAAAATTGAATCGTTTCGTTTCGAATCGAATAATTTAGTATTTGTTTTCTTACGAAACATAAAATACAATCGTGATTCATGACATCTCCTCCTAGCCTAGCAAGTCACTAGTGTGGGGGGGGGGGGAAGACGCAGGGACTCGAGCTCCTAAAAAATTTGAAGAACCCCCTAAAATTTTGAATATAAAAAAAGGTAATTTTGAATAATGTTAGCAAAAAAAAGAAGGCAATTTTGAAAATAATTTTATAATTTTTCTTGAACCCCTTGAGATTGTAAAGGCTAGTGACACCCCTGCGTCCAAATTAGTTACCAATTTAATCAACGAATTTCTTAATTATTGTTGTCAAATGTATATTTCCAAGAGAGCTTTATTAAAATTAGTAACTAATTTTGGATAACTAAATTTCGGGATCCATATGTTAATTTAATTCAATTAAGACAATAAGGGGGTAAAAATGTGTATCGAGATTTAAGATTTTTTAAACAATTTACAAATAATTTACATTTATTATTCGACAAACTTTGTAAAATAATTATTTCGTATTCGTCGCATTGAATCGATATCGAATAATTTTTGATAGGTTTGCTCACCGTAGTGGCGAGAGATACCAAAATTAAGAAACTAGCAATATAGATCAATATCGCGATATTTTATTTTCGCGGTTAATATAAAATGTTACTTTACTCTTTTGAATTGCCACATTATTTTTAAAGCAATACCAGATAATGGGAGGGGAAGGGGGTGGGGTTAAAAACCTTGACTAGTGTCAAAAAGTTGTCCTTATCCATTTTCCTTCCTCCTCTCTCCGTGTTGCCCGGATATTCCCAATCCAAATCAAAGCCGTCAAAATTGAACTGTATCAGCTGTTGAACTACGTCGGTTATAAATGCCAATCTTTTTACTGGGTCCTCTGCCATCAGACTGTATTTTGAAGAAAAAAAAATGTTTTATGTTTGATTATTAATTAAAAATAAAGATTATGTTTTAAAAAAAAATTAAGTTATAAAAAATATTGATATTTCATTTGTAATATAATTAAGTATAAAAGATGAAATAATTAAATAATTAAATTATGTATTTTATTAAACTGCTAAAATGAGGATTAAACGATAGGCCTATATTAAACCTTTGTAAGTATACGGACAAGTCTAGCCAATATATGCCCCTACCCGCTAGGACCTAATAATTATTACAAGGCTTTTCACAAACTGCTCAAAAGATCAATAAATGAAATTTTTTTTTATGAAAATGCTCAAACTAAGCTTTTTTTGTAAAAAATGTTTTGTGATTTTTATGCATAAAACAAAATCCCGATTAAATCACAATTCTCATTTTTTTTTCTGCTCAAAATTTTGAGCGAAATAAATCTTCAAATGAATTTTAGGGAGTTGGCGAATTTCCGGGTCTGATCGTCAAAACCTGGATACTATTTCTAAATATAAATCCTAATAAATACCTGAATGATAATCCACCATGTGTCCAGCCGCCGATAGCCAACATGATTTTTAATTTCGGATTCGTGTTTTTGAGATTCACTAATTCCCTGTATTGTTCTTTAGAAAGAAGAAAATAATTATATGCATCTTTTTTAAATTATATAATTTATATTCACTTTTTCTAGCATTACTTATTTACTATCTTTTACTCCCTCACATCCCTTCCATCCATCTCCTTCCTTCTTTATTTATGGTTCAATAATGATTTGCATGGGCCAAAGGACCGATTCGGATTTGAATTTTAATATTTACTTGGAACCAGGTCAGTTATGACTGCGTTATGCAGCCTCTGCTTTAAAAAAAATATATCGATTTAAAAAAAATGTAATAAATAATATATAATTAATTAATTAATACCAAACAACTAAAATATCATTTGCAATATTGCATTATCTTTCTTTCTTTTTAAAACTTTAAAATAAAAAAAAATCTTTTTCAAAATAAATTTAAGAATAAGATTTATGGGTTTATTTATTAATTAATATTCAAAGAATTTATAAATAAAAATCTATAAAAATTTTAAAAAAATATATTTTATTAAGTATTTTTATGTTGAAAAATCTAATAAAATTATATAAAACTAAGATTAGTATTTTATGATTTTTTTAGTATCGGAGATCAGAAGATGGAAGTAGGAGGATCAAGACCTAGAGGAAGACCCAAGATGACGTGGACAAATGTGATAGCGGCGGATATGAGAAGCTTGAATCTTACAAGTATTGATGCTCAGGACCGTCAAAAATGGAAAAGAAAAATCAGAGGGAAAACTGGCCTACCCGGGTAAACCTGGAAATCGCCATAAAACGGAAAAGAAGGAGATCAGAAGACCAAGCTAATACCCCTAACTCAAAAAACTGACACTCGGGATAAAATATCCAAAATGCTTAGAAAGAATAAGGATATTAAATTGTCATGTCGCGGTAGAATTATACTTTTAAGGTGAATAGATATATTGCGGGTGTTTTTGCCCGGTGTCTTCTTGCCTAAGTCTATGCATTTCTACCACAATCATTGAAATTAAAGGGAATAGAGATGTAAAGACGCTATCATTAGAATAAAATTGAAGTGGATGCTAAATGAATATAAGGTGGGTAGGGGGCATGCTAATTAAGATTTCCTTATTTTTATTATATTGGAGGATAGGTTTGGGTGAGAGGGGAAGGGGTATTACCCCCGTAGGCTTAGGAGGTAAAAATATATTTTACAATTTAACTTTTTAAATAGTAGAGTAGAGATCTGTAAATCATAGACCTGCAAGGTCGGCCCTAAGCTGGGGTACACGGGCCGGGCCATATTTTAATTTTTGTAAATATACCCATGCCGGACCGTATATTTTAAAACCAAATATTTTAAATCGCTATTAGCTATAAAAATTAAAAATAAATATAATATATTTTAAATCCGGGCCGGGCCTGAAAATAAAACCAGGGCCGAAAAAAATTTTTGAAAAAAAACAATCCGGACCGGGCCGTGCAAATGGTATTTTTGTAGGTCTCTGCTGTAAATCAAGTCAAAAAAAATTTTTTTTAAATGTACCATGAGCATTATGTTCGTAAACCGTCATTTTCCAGTCGGGGGATATCTTGCTGAAGGCATAAATTATGTGAGTGCATAGGAATGGGTCAACACTGGATGTTAGAAATTTGTAAGGGGGTTGCTTCCATTGATCCCATCCGGTGAAATAACACACCATCTTGACAGGCTCATAGTTGAGATCGTCATCATGACGTTGTAAATCGAAATCTCGTTTCACATTATCCAGTTCGTTTTCTATATAATCCAATACATCATTCTTAGGGTCGTTGCCAATTATTTGTGAGTTGGAAGGGTTATTCGCTAAAATTATGAGAAAAAAAATAATATTATTTTATTTGAGTTTTTAATAATTTTAACAAAGTTTTTTTAAATATTTAAATATATATAGATAATTAAATTTTATACATTTAAATAAATAATATTTAATTAAAGATAATTTAATATAATATAATTACCAATGGCAGACTTAGGTCGGATGATGGAAGAATTGATCAATTGTTCCAATAAATCGATTAAATTGCTCAAACTATTCTTTAGGGTCAACGTAGTATTGTATTCCTCTGAATCGTTAAAAATTGTCACGTTAGAAGCTGATGATATTGTCAATCGGTAAAATGTTATCAAAAAAATTAAAGATGTTAATAAATTCATATTTTTGTTAATTTTTATTTTAAATTGTTAATTTAAAGGGAATTTTTTTTTATTAATTTTCAGTTATCATTGCTATTTGCTATTATAATAAAAAATAAATATTTAAATATAAAAATGGTTAAATTAAAAAATTTTTAACAAAAAAAATATTATTCTTTTTTAATAAATTATCTTCAAATTAAAAAGTTAATAAATTTTTTAATTTTTAGAATTTATTTATTTTATTTTTTTTAAAAGCTAAGAATGAAATCTCTAATGTCAGAATTAGATTTATTTTATTTTATAGCTTGTTTTTCTTTTAAAATTTATTTTTAAATATAAAAGAAATGTTACAATTTTTTTTAAATATATTTCTTTTATAAAATGATAATGAAAAATTCGTTATTGCATAATCATCATCATATGTATTTTTTTTTCCATGTATGATATATAATTTAATAAACAGATGATAAAGATTTATTTCAATTTAAGATGATATTTTATTTATCAAATAACCCTTTATTTAATAAAAAGAAATGATATAAAAGTTCTTCTACATATATCTGTATATAATCATTTCTTATATATACATAAGAATTATAAAAATAACTGCAATGTTTATAAATTGTTAATAAAAAAAAAATATGATTATGTACATACTAAAAACCCTTCTAGCAACTTTATTGTTTTTTAAAAAAATAGGCATAAATTTATGAATTTATTTGAATCGTTAATTTTCTTCTCTTTCCCTCTACGACACAGATTTGTGGTTGCATGAATCATTGAGATTCAAGAACACTTTTTCTAAATTTTTTTTTTAAAAAAGGGCTGGAGTCTTTGGACACGGCTAACTCATATTTTATATCAATTTCCTTATTTTAATTGTAATTTAATCTTAAATTTTTAAATCGATCAGGTGTTAATCATATATTTTTTTAAAAATAATATTATATATAAATAACGAATAATATTTTAATTATCTAGGTTAGTTAATATTTTTTTTATATCTTTATATACGGTCACTAAAAAGGTCAAAGGTCATTTTAGGATTATCAAATCAATCATAATATATTATGTGTATGTAACTCAACTTAAATTCTGTAGATTTGATTTTTATATTAAATTTAATAGGTTTTTTTTTTAAAAAAAAAATCTAATATTTTAATTTTATTATTAGAAAGCCCTCAATCACCGATATTTTTTATAATTATAGTTTTAAAAAAAAGTAATATCAGAACCAGGGTATTAAATATTTGTTTTTATATTTTAATAAATTCAAATTTGTATAACCTTGTACTCAAACACCAATCGTGTATAATTTTATAATAGCGCCAAATCAAGTTAGTGAATGATTGAAACATATGTAGAGGCGTAACAGGCACCTCACAGCAAGGGAGATCCTAAGGCAAGGGACTCAGAGATCTCGAATTATGGGCTTCCTATAAGAATTTTTAGGGGAAAGACCAATATTTTTGAGAGACCTATATTACTAAAATCCATTATAAAAAAAAAATTCGAAACATTTCTAAAATTTGATGAATTATCAACTTTCTTACTTTTAAAATTAATTTTTTTCTTCTAATATATATTTTTTTATTAATATGATTTTCAATGTTCATAAGTTTATAACTACACTACAAAATATTCTTATAGATATTTAGAGAAAAAGTAGAAACGGACATGCAATGAGATTTAAAAAATATATATCGGGAATACGTTCCAGAATCCGCAGGTTTGATAACTAATTCGTATTCTGGGAAAGTTTCCACATGATAACTGGAACGGAACAGAAAGAAACATTTTTAATGCATTATTTCTGGTCCCTTGCTTAAGTTAATTCAAAATTTGATCTTTTAAAGAAAAATTTTTAACATGCCCTATTCTATTCAAATACAATGATATATTTACTGAGTCCGTATTTTCTAAAGTATATATATATTTAGGCTCCGTATTTGTATAACAATGAGGGGGAAGCGAAAAACTATAATATGATTATAGAAAATAAGATTAATTCATAATCAAGATGGTTAGATTATTTTGGGCAGTTATAAAAATATAAGCTTCTTAGGTAATCTAAATTAAAGGAACTAATGATTAACTCAGAAAAAAAAGGTTTAAATCAAATCGAATCAAATAGAAACAAAACTTCTTACGATATAATGACTATATAACACTGTATTATTCAGAGATCCCGTTGGCGAGAATAAATCTATTGAAAAACATAAATGATCTCTATAAATACTCTTAATTAAAATGCAATAAATAACGTATAAATATCTGTCCCCACTCCCAGAAATGATTTTATAGAATAATTATCTTGAAACCTAGTTTTATTAAAATGTGTCGTATAAAATTTATATATTTACCACTCTTCTTCTTTCTTTTTTTTTTAACAATAATATAAAAACCTTTATTCGCTCTTTTTAACATGGTAAAGCAATAAGTTAGAGCAGTCCAAAACACGCAAAATATAGCTTTAAATACAGAAATTCTTCTCTATTAAGTTCGACCTAGAACCAACAAATGGAATTGGGACAAATAATTTTACCAAAATATAAGGATGAAGAAAATAAAAAAAAAAGGATTTTAAAAATCATAATTACCGAAAGTGACAATATTAATTTATGAAAACTATATATATATTTTTTTTTGGCCTAATAACCTATTTTCTTTCGAGTTCCAGATCCCGACTAAATAGAAATGATAATTATTTCATTTTGAAGCGTTTAAATAAAATGGTTTTATAATTTCTAAAAAAATTTTGTTATAAAATATTTGATTAACATAACAATTTTCTCGGTTATCGTTAAATCATTTTGTCTGCCAAAATAAAAATTGGTCATTCACACACTTTTTATAGAAATGCTTTTTCTTTTTAAATTATAAATTTAAATATGTTTCAAATTTTCCAAAAATTCCTTTTTATAAAATCTTTTTGATATTTATTTAGAATTAGAAGAATAAGAATAAGATGAAATAATTATTTTCCATGCTTAAACGAAACTGGGGTCAATTACTCCTTTCTTCCCTTCTTTTGGTAATAATTGGAATATAAACTATAACTTTTAAAAAAAAACTAGATGAAAAACAAAATTACTAACATAAATTATCTCGTTTCTTTCTATTACATTTAGGCCAATCATATTCATCAACAAACGCAGCGGAATTTAAAGAGGAACTTTTAACTCATTTTTTTTTTGAAAAAAAAGAAAAGAAGAATTAAAATATAAAAAAATTTTCCATTTAAGAATCTTCTTTAATTAATAAATTTGCATATATATTAATAAATTTTTAAATCTAAATTAATAGTTATAGGCAGAAGCAAAGAAGGGTTATAGAGGTAATAATAAATACTTTTTCAATTGTTTTTATTATTAAATTTTCAGAAAAGAAAAACCATTATGGAATAGTTAGTTAGTAAAATTATATTTAATTTATTATAGATAGAAAATAGAAAAATAATAAATTAGAAATTAGAAATAAATTATGTTTTTTTTAATTTTAAAATAAAACACTTTGCATTTTTCTATTTTAAATATCTAAATTGTGCAACTTTGTAGCGAATTTAAAAAAATACATTTAGAAGAAGAAAAAAAAAGTGAAAACGCAAGGTCTACTAGTTGTATAATAATATAGGCATATGGTCAAAACGAGGATAACTCCTAGCAAAAAAATATTATTTTATTGGACGAGACCATGGGGAGATATTTGGGAATTTAAATTTTAATCTTGTATTGAATAGTGTTGTTACTAAAATGATAAGGCCTAATAGTAATTCAAAATCAGCTGATAACGTTGATTATAGCTCTGTATGAGATCCCATTTTCAAGAGCTCTATATACGATCTAATTTTCAGGTTCAGCGACCCAATTATTATTTTAAACTTTTTTGTCTGACCAATCCGATCTGAACTCTTGATTTTATAAATAGTGATTCTACTTAAAGTAAGATTTAGAAACCACTTTTCCGAAATATAGTTTGTTAAAACTCCCTTAAAAACGCAGAGCAGTCTCTTCTCGAAAATGGAATATTTTTCGAAACAAACAAAATGTCAACCCAGAAATTAATAAATCTTACGTATTTATGGTTGGATTATGGATTATCATTTTTATGCCTATCAGAGAAAAATTGAGAAATTATAGTTTAAAAAAATTGTATATAGTCGTAATTCGAAATCTATATTAACTTAATGTTGTCGCCAACAGTAGGGAACATGACTGCTTCTGTATATACTTTTATTTTTAATGATAAAATAGATAATTCATTTTGGTAACGCATTTCCCAACTCTCGCTCAAATTATGATCTGAATGATCTAGCACCTAAACCAGTGGTATGGCATATTATCAAATATTTATGCGTTATTAACCTTTATTTTTATTAGAAAATATATTGTTTTCTTATTTATTTTAGAAAATGAATGAATTTTCTAATTATTTTCAAATGAGACTCTAGTTAATGTTAACCATGCCACTGACTCAAACAAAACACGATTTGTAGTAAACCTGGTTGAGGTTTAACAAATTATTTAGAAAATAAAATTAATTTTATTACATATTATGCTTTTGATATTTCATTTTAAAATTAATTATTATTAAAGCTCTTTGTAACTTTGTTTTTAGATTTAATTAAAAATTTTAATGCTAAAACCATTTTTATTGAATAAAGCATATATTTTTTTAATGTATAAATTAAATTTGTATTTATTTTTATACATTATTATTTTCCTGGCCCAAAAATTTTAATTGAAAAATATAGATGAAACACATTTTTATAAATAAAATAAAGTTAATAAATTTTCCACCTAATCTTAATACTAAGAAAAATTTTTATTATAATTTAGTAAAAAAAAAAAAATAAAGGCAAAAAATTATTTTTTATATTTTACAAACCCAACGCCCCCCAATTTTTTATAAAAGTTTATTAACTTAGTCCGAGCTAACTTTGGGTCGAGCAAGGCTTTACCCGACTCATAGAGCCCCACATAACAGAATACTCTTTAAATTAAATACAATAAGCTAATTGGAGAGAATGCGTTTA